TCGCAGAAGACCTCGCCCATGCCGTGGGTACTTCCGACGGCCGAAATCTGCTGCTGGCCTTCAAGAAAGGCGTAGGATGCCCAATCAACCGTGCAACGCCGGAAAGTATTCACGCGTCTCTAAGTTCATCGGTGAAGGCCTTGAGTCTTCTCCATGAGGCGGCAATCCAGGAGGCGCAGGCGCTTGTAGTGGGTCGTGAAAGCTTGTCGATTACGAACTTAATGAGTGGATGGGAAGAAAAAAATTTAGTAGAGACCTTGCTGACAAAGCAAACTATCAGAATAATCAAGCCATTTGCCAAGACGATTAGGTCTCTTCGAGAGAGCTCTGTGAGGCTTTCCTTGAGGCTGCAACTTGCAAGTGCCAGGCTTTCCATGGGACGTCGTTTTAAAGACGAAAAGGACGGAGATTTGCTACGGTCTGCAGCAGCGGACCTACACTGTTTCCGCGAAGCTGTCGCAACACGCAGCAAGAGCGTTGCTGCAGCTATTGAGGTAGTCCGGAAAATTGCGGAAGTAGGAAGAACTCAGCAGCTAGCAGGCAGGGCGAAATTCAGATATCTCGCTGAGACTGATTTAGACACCGTGAAGGCCTACGCAGCACTTGTGAAGAGACACCTTCAAGCGGGCCGCACACTATCTGCAAGTACTGCTGATTCATCAGCAGAAACAGCTTTAGAATGGGTCGATGAGCTCGTAAGGGAAACTGCCCAGTTGATTTCTGCACATCGCAAAATCTTGGAGAATTCGGAAAGCAAGAAAAGTCCTAGCTCATTGCATATGGCTGCCGTGGCTGCCGCTTCTACTGAACAACCAATAGTGTTGAATCTTGGCTCGTGTTGGGACCTGCTGCGTGCCCTCCCTGCCCCACCGGAAGTTCTGGATGAGGAAGGAATGCATATCATTGGGCTTATAGCAAGCGGAGTCAAAGCCCGGTGCCACTTGCTCAGCTCTTCAATACTCGCTATTTCTGAAGAGGCCAGACAGCATTCAGGACTGGAGCTCTCCATAAGCCAGGAACGTCTAAGCAGCGACATAAAGACTGAATTGCTCGATGGCATCAACTTGGCAGTGAACGATGCTGAAGCACTTTGCAAGGAGTTGGGAACACTGACTGAACTGTTCATGGAGACAAAGCGCATGGCAGCTGTAAATGTGTACACAAATCGTGCTTCCCTTGCAATGGAGGCACTCATTAAAGTAGAACGGAGGGCAATGGTGCTTCTTGCAAGCTACAATCTCATGTTACTCTTAGAACAGGATTTGGAAGAGCTAGACACTCGCTTCACCAAGTTAAAATCCGGCAGATGCGGGATGCCGGCGGGGGAATCGAGAGATGAGCCTCAGCAGCTGCAGAACTACGAAAAGGCACTAAGGAGCGTACGACATGCCCGAACATTGGGAGACGCTGCAGCGGAAGCAGCCAAGTTGCGTCTTCTGGTTGATAATCTGGAGGACATGGTGTACAGAGCGGAGACAGAGGTCTGAAAGTGGGTCCGTCTGTCTTGTCAGTACCGTGTAATCAGTGTGAGTTTGGCTTTGAGGCGAATACTCCCACGTGCATCAGTATGGTTGGACGGAAGGCTCGTTTTACCACTTTCGACCATGCAGGCAGCATATGTTTTGTTTCTGGATATTTGTCCTAAGGAGAGCATCCCATGAAGGTTTCCCATGCTGAGAGGGTGTGAGGATGCTTATGATGTGCATTGCACCAATGGATTTGCTGTGCATTTGTCCTGATATGTGATGCCTTCGATTTTCTATCAGTCACGAGTATCGAAGAGTGTCCTATGGTCCTCTACTTGTGCACCATTCTAGGCCTACCAGTTCTCTTGTCACCCACACGAACCAAAGCCCGCTGCCGTAATTCCCACTTCGTACAGTCGATGCAGGGGATTCCAAATGCAGACCAGATCTATGTTTGGCCTTGCCTTTTGCGAAGACTGAATAGTAGTCAGTGGGGAGTGAACATGGACAGCTTCTTATAAAAGGACTAGAGGAATTGAAGGACGAGGATGAATGCATGAGCATCCACAGACCTCGAAGAATGTGGTTCTTCCCCCACCGTGAGCTGCTTACTATGGTTGTTGACAAGCATTAGCTTGTTCGGCAATTAGGCAGCGTTTTGGCCCACAGACTCCGGAGGTGTGACCAAATTTAGATACTGCGTCTCACTTCCCACTCTTTGTCACTGCTTTGAACATCTTGCCGTGTACGAACTTGGATTCTAAGCAGCACATTAATCTATGTAACAAGGCTAGTGGAACAGCGACAAACCAGTACCGTATTATAGTCGGGGAGGTTCCGATTGGCGATCAATAAACGAAATCACCAAAGTGCTGCTTGTGCTGCTTGTGGCTGAGGGCAGCCCTGGAGGCAGGCAGTGGAGTAACTAGTGGACGTTATTGCTCGTATGCTCCTCAAAAATGCGACGCCGTGAAAATCTAGCGCAGTGTCTAGCGCTGCAACAGCAGCCGCTCTGCTGCAAAAGTCTCATTTGCCCACCTCTGTATGACCACATCCTTAAGTTTCATTTCACGTGCGAACTGTTGGGCGGTGGGATGGAGGGCTCTCCCAGTCTGAGGCACTGCCTTTGTCGAACACATCTGTACAGCACTGCATGCAGACTGACGACTTAACACCATTGCAACAAGTGCGGAGCACATATATCTCGCATTCCTCGTTGCAAAAAGTTCCGCGGTGGCGGCATCGGCTTGCATCAGGGCTTGCTCCAGCGCTTGCATAACTGTTGTCTCTGTCCGCCGCAACGTAGCTAGCAGTACCGCTTCTTCCGACGGCTGCTCCTTAGGTACGTTCCAGCCAACAGTAATAGCCATGCAGAGGCAACGGCACGCATTAAGCGTGTATGTGTGCAGGGGAAGAGAGTCGGGGAGAAATGCTGTGCCTCCTATCACAGAGAGAGCCTCTGCTACTACGCCGCAGAAATGCAAAACATACTGTTTCTGTTGCTTCCACGTACAAAATCCGCTGGACGACATTGATCCTCCTTGCATATCGTAGACTAGGGCTTGGAGCACAACTGCATATAAATATGCTGCCTTCGACAGCAGTAGGGGAAGGCTCTCGCGTGGCGTTAAATCTTCTGTCTTCCGAGTTGAAGCGTGCTCCCAAGGGGAACCGTCTGCTCCTACTTGCCTCCACAATGCAAGAAATCGCGAACTCCTGCGAATAAGAACAAAAAAAACCTATGCTCCAGTCAGGCATACGTAGAGCCCCTGCAGGAATGACCACCCCTACTGAAGTCGCCAAAACTGATAGGATACAGTCTTCACCTTAAGGCCTTTTCTAGTGAAAGCAGAACTTCTTCCCTCACAATAGCCAAATCCGACGTAGGTGGGCGTGCAGCTCTATGTCGCGCTGAGTATGCGCAGCTGAAAGCGCCGCCTAGGCGCAAACCAAGTGTCTGCAACGCAGCAGCAGCTGCAGTGCTGCACGCATTGAAGTCCTTCTCTACTGCCACTGTCTTTGGTTTTACACCTGGCGTGTCTGCGCAGAGCAGAGGCAGCTGCGTCACGAAGGGTCTTGCAATCCTTAACGTCAAGAGCCTCATACTGGCTGCAGCCGCTAAACTGTTTGCAGTGGCATGTAGGAGGCGACTTCGTTGCCGTTCCTTCTTCCTCGTCCTTGCCTTCTCAAGCGAGAAATCTGATAAAGCTGGTGCTGAGGCCGCTTGGTGCAACAGTGAATTGGACTCCACTGTAGAATGCTGCGCTGATGGCAGAACATGCTGCTGAAGGGCTAGCGCATCGTTTGCTTCTGTCGCTGAAGTCGCCTGGCTCGTTTCAAGCGGTGGTTCATTGGTTTGGATTAGTCCGCGCTGCCGCCATTGCTCATGCCGCATTAACAGTTGTTGCGACTGCCTTGCATCTCTCAATTTCATGCTATGCTGGCGCTGTATTTGTCTCCTCAGAGAACAGGAGAGGTGTTTTGGAAAAGTCAGAGGAAGTAAGGGACCTGGATCAATAAGCAGTTCCTGCTTCTTTCCAGCCTCCCCAAAAAAAATTCCGAAGGGGAAATGGTGCTGCTTCGGCAATCGCATCACCTGCTCCTGCGGGGGAGGAACCCTTTCATTGGGACGGCGAGCTTGTGCCTGCCCGTAAGTTGCAGTGCTCCTAGCACGCCCCTCCGATTCTGCGCTAACCGTCGGTGGAGCGAGGGACTGTTGGGACGCCAGCTGAAAGGGTTGAAGGAAGGCCCGTCGGCAGCAAGACCAGCGCCGCATCGTGTCCAAAGCACACTGAGAACACACAAAAGCTGTTCACAACCAAACTTGTTGCCTAGGCACCTATCCGGACTTCGCCGTCACCGTGAGGCATTTTGGCAAATTTCTTTCACATACAGGACTTCACGATTCTGCATTTTGGCGCTGAAATCGACACGAAACAAAACAAGCACGACATTTCACTCGTTGTTTCTACCTTTCCGTATTTAAGGGTCTTCTTCCTTCTGGTGCATGCGGTTGCTGTCTCCGTAGGAGTTGTAGGCGTCTTTCTCACTGCGTTTTTCCCATCCGTACAACGTTCCTGGCGATTGCTCGAGGCTAGTATTTTTGTTGATGGTCGGGAAGCAGCCACCTTCGCAGCATTGGCGCGAGTGATTAAACGTCGTATATGGCGTCGACGAAGCCTGAGGAGATTTGGGGGTCCTCTGTATCCCCATATGCGATAAACTTTTGAGAAAAAAGCCTACCATACGCATACATTCATTAGCCGGGAGTGACACCAAGGCCCTACCCACCCATTATCTCACTTCGGTAGGCACTGAAAGTCCCATTTTCCTCAAAACTCAGCAATTCCAAACGTGTGCTGGGGCTGTAAAAGTTATAAACGATACACATAGGGGACGAAGGAACACTCGGAAACAAATGAGCCCCATACGTGACCATAAGAGCCACGTTAAGACAAATGAGGCAGATGGCAGGAAAGCAAAACCAAGCTACTGTACAGCTTCATGACAAGTCGAAGATGCACCAGACGCCAATCAACTAAAGCAAGCGTTTCGTAAAGACAAGTCCGCGTGAACGAGTGCGTAGCGTCTGCTTGCCTCTCGCCGTGTCACAATTCGCGTAATTTCAGCTCCTGCCGGCAAAAAACCCTTCTCCACAGAGCGGTCTCTTGCGGCCAGGCGTCTGTTGCTGCTCAACCTTGCGCCATCCATGTCAACATCAATAACTCTCCCAAACTGAGATATGAAACTGCTCCATGGCGAAGTTACAAATTCTAAGCTCTTGTGCAACCCGCGCCGCCTCAACATCTCTATGGTATCAAGGCCTGTGGGGACGATAACGGCGCCTAAGGGCCGCTGACCTGTTCTAGCGGATTCCTGTGCCTCAGGGAGCGTTTTCGCAGTAGTCTTCAGTTCTTCTGCTTGAGGCTGTTCACGGGAGGTCTTGATAAGTGGAGTATAGCTCATCCTGTTGCAGCTGAACAAGTTCTCGCCGTGGTCATTTACCACTACTGCGGCTGCCAAAGCAGAGACTGTCCGGCTTTTGCACAACTCATGGGTGCCCATGGCGAAGCCGTATTGTCTATTAACCGCAACCGCAGCGCTCGCTGCTCCTACATCTGCAGTCTGTATTGTAGAAGCTGCCACATTTGCAGAAATTGCGTGTTTATCACAGCCAGGAATAACATTCATAGATGCTTCCGCTGTTGAAAAACAACTCTTCTCTGATCCGTCTACCAAAAGGGAACAATTCTTCTCAAGCCGGGTTGAGCATTGTTGCCGCATCTGATGCTGCTGTTGCTGCCCAAACCTTGTGGCTGCCAAAGCAACAGATGCAAGCAGTCCAGATATCAACTGTGGGTTTTTCTTGTCTTGCGTGTGAGCAAGATGCCGCAACAACGCTGCAGCAAGGAATGGGTCAACGCTGACAGAGCTACGCAACGGGTCAGCCGCACCCTCAGGAGCAGCTAGGGGAGCTTCACCGCCCTCTCTCTGCAAGTCACTCTCCTGCTTGCGAGCCAACGTCTCCACAGAAGGACTTCTCTGTGTTCCTAGGGGCACTGATTGCCTCTGCTTTTTTTCCATCAAGTCATGACCATGGACAATGCAACTGCGCGACTCCTGCGATTTCGTTTCCCGCCGTACTAGAGAAAGCTTCTCAGATGTACTTTGTCCGCTATTACGGCCTTCAACAATAAGTGGTGGGGGAAGGTGAGGATTAGGAAAGAGCGGCTGGAGGGACTCGGCTTCACGACGACCCGGCAGTCCCACTGTCGCTGCACATTCTCCCTTTTGCTGCTGCCCTATATGCGCCAAATTGTGCTGCGACGGAGAGGCAGCTGCTGCCGCTACTGGTATTGATCCATCCCCCGTTTCTGTTGTTGGCATGGTTGCAGACACGGCTGACAGCTGGCTCACAAACCGAAGGGACGGTTGCGGGTGTTCAGCTCTTTGCCGTTTATTGATTTCGTGCCGTCGAGATTGCCGACGCAGAGCTGCGGCGCACAGAGACCTCAAGCCAAAAGGAGAAGCATACTAAGGACTCGAGCGCCAACCAGCACCTGCTGCTATTTAGAGCAGCAGATGCAATGGTATACGTGGGCATGCAGCTGCCGAACAGTGCAACGCAGAGGCACCCTTGCTTACACATGATCTGCTTCTGTAGTAAAAGCTCAGAAAGCGAGGTGAGAAAAGGATAGTGAGTGTAGAGCAGCGAGTCTAAGCTTGACAGGCAGCTTGACAACTGCAGGCAGCAACAAATGCCAAGGGCGCAAGCAACGCAAACGCAAATCAACAGCAAAGGAAATATCGAGTGAGGCATGGAGCCTACTACGGAATCAACAACTTCCTTCGTAACCATTAAAGAGAAGCGCGTTGTCGCGAGGCAAGGAATTCGCGGAGGCGCCGCTATTAGCCACTCAAAACGGCCAATGAGTTGTGACAAACCATGTGGCCGATGAGCATATGGTGCTCACAGGAAGCAGCAGACAATGCGGTTGTAACTAAAGCACAGAAAAAGAAGAAAGGCGGAGAAAAGAACTAAGCGAAAATGGGGCAAAGGAGCATAAACAGAAACACGGAGAGGTGCAGATGCAAACGAAAAGTCACAGTTGCCAAGATAGTAGGCAAGATTGAGTATATGGTAGCGTCACCATGTCTGGTGTGTAAAGGTGGATGTTGCGCTGCAAGGAGATCCCGAGCTTATTTAGCGCGGATGTAGGTCGATAATTCATCCTCGCCAGAAGCCTGAAACAATGACAGCAGCAGATAACAAGAAAGCGTCGGTGAGCAACACGTGAGATCAACTCTCAAAGTATTGGTGTTTTCCACCGAATCATGTTGACGGAGACGCAGTTGTGGCCTCGCGCCCTCATGCCGGCGTTGAAGGGGTGGGACAAACTCAGGGATAAACGAACAATGTTCTTAACAAGCTGCTGGATTAGAGAACGAGACACAACAAAATGCAAGGGGAACAAGTAACCACTGAGATCTGAGATTACCTGAGGACCGCACAGACCTCTGCTGGGGCCATCGCTGACCAGTGGAGTTCTATTTCTCGTTCGAGTGCCTGCAAAATCCAGGCAGCACAGTTTAACATGAAAAAATGGCGAGCATGTCTCTCCACGCCGCTGCTGCGGTCAATTCATCAGCACCACAGTTCCTCTACCATCTGCCTTGATGAGGCGTCCAAGTTGCATTCGGGCGAACAGCATTGATGGGCACTTCATCTAGTCAGCTGTTAGTCAAGGGGCACATTGGGGTCTCACCCAGCTGTACGCAACCGGAAATTGCTTGAGATCTGCTGAAGCAAGGCTCTTCCCCAAGTGAAGAAGGGATGCAAGCGACGAGCGGAAAGCTACACGTTCCCTCCGTTGCTGCAGCGTTTGTTCATGTCCTTCTGGGATATTCTGCCACTGCGCGTACAGTGAATTTTGTAGTGTTCCTTCCATGGAGGCAGCTCTCTGCTGCAACAGCAAAAACGACGATGTTCCTCCAAGGTGCTCGTATACTGCAGTGCTCAGAGACTCTGCGGTGTCTCTAAAGCAGCATAAACACTGATACAACGGCCCAATTAGACCGATTTACCCAAGATCACCGCGATTTCCACATAAATCGTGTTGATATTAGCTGCTGTTCTGGTGCTTCCACACGCAGCATTGCGCGCATCATCAGTGCACAGAGAAGGACTGTCGGAAAAGAAGAGCAAAATCACTTGTTTTAATCGTCTTACTACGTATGTATCCGGTGCTTGAATTTGGGTGGGTGACTGACCGGTCCAACTCTTTTCTCTTCAATAGGAGTGAAGCCAGCGCTGCAGCTTCTGGTGGCTTGAGGGCAGCAATGTTTCGCTTAAGTTGTGGTAGAACAGAAACAAAAAACGGAGCAGAGGCGAGATGAGGGGGGACGCACAACTCATCCTAGTAAAACAAAGGGACAGGCATGCCACATACGTCGAAGGCACAGCTGTCACCCTGATGCGAGCTGCACTACTGCACGGACATCCACATGTTACAATTTAAAATGCTGCAGGCGGCGGGGGCGGGCACAAACATCGCCAACAATAGAAACTGACAGCACTGCTGCATTAGCTGTTCAGTGCAAACAAGTTCATTTGCTCGCTTCAGCAGCATACAAAAGCAGCATAACTGCAAAAGTAAGTGGAGTACTCAGGCCTCCAGAGGTTCCAGGATTATGGATTTCGGATGATATTGCCAGCTGTATGCGGGCAGAGTTGCCTTGGCAGTTTCCGATGAAACACCGGTTAGCCAATGGAAAGAAGAAGTAGCTGTGCCACAAGAATCTGGCCCCATGTGCGAATAGGGACCGCACCCCGGAGAGTGGTAGAGCACACCAGAAACGAATGCAACCTATCAAGAGCTGCAAGATCTAACAACACCACTGTGGAGGATATGTATATCAAATAGGTCTGCAAGAATCTTACAACAAATCTTTGGATCTTCAATAAATCTCCCACTGTGAGAGGCTTTCGCCTTCTCTCTAGTGAACCAAGGAGGGCAGTAAGGTGACGTTCCGAAGGAAGATACCTATGCACATGCAGAACCAAAACTGCACGTGAATGCAAGCTAAAAGATTTCTGTGAGCAAATGAATAAAGATGGGGAAGGTGAAAACCATGGGGATACGCAAGAATACGGGCAAAACGCAGGCATGGCAAACAAGTGAACAGCAGAAGCCGCTGCGCGGCAAGCTAGCGAGTGAGATACAGGGCCGCATTTCAGGCGCATTCTTCGAAAGTCGGCCCAGAGACGGTAGAAAAAACGCACCTAGAATGATACACATGCAAACAGAAAGAGATAATTAAAAATGACAGCACAAAAATGAAATCAGGAGCTAGCATACTAGATTTAAGGATCAGAGAGGGGCAGCGATATTGAAAAGTACCCGAAGAGATTAAGTTTACTGGTGAGAACCCTACACTCGCAACGAGCAGTGGCGCCTATAGCCCCTACCTCAGCCTTCTGAGTGCATCCAAAAAAAGAACAGTTTTTTTAGCATCAGTCCTTTTTGCCGCTGCGCGCCAGCTGAAGGCCTCACAGAGTCCCTGTAGCAACAGCGGTGGTCGGCAACCAGCGGCAGCAAGAAGTGCAACTGTTTGGTGCAATTCTGACACGCTCAACAACGGCAACTGCTTCAAAATGAGGAGAAGAGGCGGCGCCCAAGCTTGCGGAGTGCGCACACTTGCATCGGCGAGTTCACGAAGTACAGCTAGCAGAACAGCTGGGCCCTCTTTGGTCTTGGAGCTTGGGTAAAAAACAGGCAACTCGGAAGCAGTACCGCTCACTACCCCTGAATCTGATTCTTTCGTTCCAGTTGCCTCGTGGAGGGGCAGGGCCGTTTGCGCTGCTGAAGGAGACCTGCTGCTGCGGGTTGACGACAGCGAGAACCGGCAAATTTCATCAAATACCGAGAAAGACTCCTCTACTTCATGCTGGCAACAGCCTTCAGATTTTTCGATGCACTCTGTACTGTCACCTTCGCTGATGCTAGTACTGAAGCCATTGCAGGAGCTCTTGCTTGGGTTTTGCTTGTCAATGAGTCCGCCGTGTGACATGTTTGCGCCGCCAAGAACCGTAACTGGCTGGGTTCCTTCTCTAGCTTCAGCGCAGGCCGACTGCAATGCAGCCATCGTCAACAACTTTGGCGTAGAAGCTGAAAAGGCCCAACTTCTGCGTCCTAAGAACGCCGCTATCCTCGGGCATCTCACGTGGCTTCGCCCAAAGGCGACACAATGAGTGAGCCCATAGGTGCCTCGAATGTGAAATGGCATTGCGACAACTTGTCACACTGTGTGAGGGCCATGACTAGGGATGGTAGGGGCTGCAACAATTCAGATACAGTGTTGAGGAGTCCGTAGAGTTTAGCTTGTTTCAATTACAGAAACTTGCCGGGCAACAAACGCATTTGCCGCTTCTTAAGACGAGGAGCCAGTCAAAATTAATGGACAGGAGGAGATTCTACTTCTAAAAATTTTTCAAAAATTAATGTGCATTCCCTTGCTGCGCCAGCACGAGCACAGCCCCACTTGCCAGTGCATGTGTTTTGTCATCACCGCGCCCAGCGTTTCTGAGCCTCTATACCTTTTTATGTTTGTTTTATTCCCATTTAGAGATTGTTCTTATGTTTTGGGCTGCCACTATTAGATCACAGGGCACACAGAGGGTTTTCTAACAGGGTCGGCGAAACCTGTGTGAAGCGTTCAGGTGCATTCATCACATGTATTTGCGCACTAATCTTGGCATCATCAGCAAATTAATGATTTTAAATGACACTGCAATGGGCAATATGTGAACAATAGCTCGCTACATGGCGTTAAGAGGCCGTTTGCGTGAAGTTTGCAGCACGCCCAACTTCTGAACATAGCACTGCGTAAAAGGGTCAGGCTTCGAGCCTAGAAACTAAAAGAACTTACAAATATTAGTTTCTACCAGCCTGAGAGCGCCCAAGCTAGGCCAGTTTGCTTCGCACTAACTATGAATTTAACGGCTTCTTTGTGTAGACTGGCTCATACCGGGGGACGCATATTGCGGACGGAGATTTGAGGCCTCAGGTAACGCGATTGCGATATTGAATTTACATGGAAGTAGATTATGAGTGTGATCAAGGAGAAAATGGTCGAAGTTAGGGAAAGGGGGTGTCGCACTGCCTCCCACCAGTGTACAGGTAGGTATCTTAGAGCAAGATCCAACTGCTTTTTCGAATTCTCATGTTTTATGGTCGTTAATTCTCTTGCTCACAGTAATTTTTAAATTACATAATTTGGTTCTGGGCGCTATGTGGAGGTTTAAGAACTCTTAAGACTCCCCTGAAAGCAGCAGAGTAGATCTCTGTGAAAACTTGAAACTGCTTTTGCTGCGGGGGAGGCGCCTT